GGGGGCCAGCCCTCCCCTCTCACTTTGAGGCAGAGCAAAAGGGGAAAGGCATCAGCGCTGAAAGGCCTCATCCAGGTCACTCACTTGGCTTCCTACTTTCCTAGCCAAGAAGCCCGTATTTAAAAAAGGTGTTATGACAGCACAAAGTGCAGAACAGACTCCTGTGGCTTTGCTCTGGGTGACTTAGAGGAGGGGACTGTCCTCACGACCCTCGTCACAGCCCTTATGTTAGGCTACCCTTGTTCTCTGGTGGGCTGGCTTGTCTGTGGAAACCAGACTAGTTCTCTGGCCACCTGTACTCAGCATGGAATATTCTAGGGCCCAGGAAGGGCCCAGCATTGTGCTGTCAGCCCTCAGAGTGAACCTCCAACTGAGCCCAGGCCGTGAGGGCCAGAACCAACCAGTTATCTGTTTTGGTAGGTAGAGCCAGGCCTCAAATGTATCTGAACTTTATTTATTCTTTGCAAACCAGGACCACATTTTGGTTTTTAATCTACAGCGAAAACAAAAAACAAAACGGCCTCAGAGCAGCACTGGACTCTGAGGCTGACTCAGGCCAGCCCCTCCACAACAGCAGCCAGGCCACCTGCAGGCCTGCAGCTGTCTCCTGTCCATGGCTGTGTGGCAGGTGCTACAGACCACATCGGGGCAGAAGTTACCCCCGAGGCCAGGGAACCCGGGAAGGGCAGGCAGGGTGCATGGAGGGAGGACGGTGGCTGCCCTGGCTAGCCGTACCCCTTCGGCCAGCCGGGGAGCAGCTCACCATGCTTCTGATGTCCACAGAGAGGGGGCGGTCCCATCAGGGCTCCCACGCCTGTGGGCATCTGGGATATAGTGCGGGCGTCCTGCTGTTTCCCCTGCAGGCCCTCCCCCACCAGGAACCTGACTGATGGGCTCAGCCTCCAGACATTGTGGACAGGGCAGGGGTCCCAGGAGATGACCCAAGAAAAACCTCCTCCTGCACCTTTGTCACAAGGCCTCAGATGGCCTCAGAGAGCCCGTGCTGTTTTCTGACGGGGCGTTTGGCATTCTGCCATTGTTGTGTCCGTGGAAAAGTGGGACTTCCCGGTCAGAAGCTGCTTGGCTGGCGCCTCTGCTGTGCCCATGGGGGCTGAGGGCCCCCACTGGCTTCTTCGGGAGCCTCTTAAATGGCTCCAGGAGGCGTCTTATCCCGCTCACCATCTCAAGGATAAAAGTTAATATTCACAGAGCAAAAGCAGCTTTGATTTCTTTAAGAATGATTAGCAAAACGGTGCTACTTGTTAAATTAAAGAATGAATCAGCCACTATCCCATCAGAGGGCTTCCCTCACCTCTGATTTTCCAGCCTGATTGGAAGCAGCCTGATTTTCCAGCTTAATCATGACAAATAAACTTCTTTGTGTTCCAGTGCTATTCCTGGTAGTCCTTGGGAAGGGAGGAAATAGATACAGAGATGGCCCACATCCCATTGCGCAGCAGCCTCAGGCCCCCTGGAACAGAGCCGCCTCACGCGGCATGATGAAAGAGGCCAGTACAGGAGATCCTACCCCAGCTGAGGCACATGCCCGGCCCTGCCCAGGGAAGGTGGGCCCCGACACAGTGAGCTGTCCTGGTTAACTCCAGGAAAGTGAAGACAGGGACGGGGGCAGCAGCTGTTGAGGGGGGCCCAGCAGCCTCGTGCTAACCGTCCTTGTCCCTCCCAGGAGCTGGCACCTGGGGAGGGTGACACTGGACTGCCAGAATCCTGAATTGCCCCTTCTGGTGTAAAGAGCCCTCTTCCTCCAGGGCCAGCCTGGAAGTCAGTCTTGCTCCGTCGGCCCTGATTCATTCGGGAAGCCAGGCGTGTGTTTGTATATCCAGCGAGGATTGGCAAGACATTGCAAAACTTCAAACAAAACATTCCAAAACATTCCAAACAAAAACTCAGTCGTTCTCCCACCAAAGATCCAGGGACGTCCGTCTGTCTTGTAAGAAAGGGCTGGGGAGATCATTTGCCCTGCTTCTTCTCTCTTGGGAAATTTTCCTCTTGAGAGAACGATAACCTCCCACATTCTGTTTTTCTCCAGGGCTTTTTAGAAAAGTGATTATGTCACCCTTTTTGATAAGATTTATTTGCAAAGCAACCGACTGTGTTTGAGGCACTGATGTTTACATGATTGTGTGACAGGGCACTCGAAAATTCGGAGGCTTTGGTGTAATGTGAGAACCATTCATTAGCTCGTGATCTGCCATTCTCATCTGGGCTCACTCATGCTTCTCTGCACAGCTGAACTTTCAGCTGAGGACTGATTGAACTAGACAGGCCGAGCGGGGACATCTCATGGCTTTTGTCCTGCTGCAGGCTGGCCCAGGCTTGGTCACAGGCTACAAGAGGCACAGAAGAAGGGCAAGCCTTGGCTTGCCTCATACTTGATAATGTTCATTGGCCAAAGCAAGTCATGTGACCTAGCCCGGGGTGTCAGGGACACCACCATAGGGTGCAGCTGTGGGGATCGCAGAGATGAGGGAAGGAGAGTGTGGTCATTCCTGCAGTCTGCCACTGTGACCTTGCTTGATCTGACCCCAACCTTGTGCATCATGCCAAGTGCTTGTTAACTGTATGGAGCCATGAGTATGCACATCTCCACTTTATGGAGTGTGGCACAAGACCCGGAGAGGTAAAGGGTCACACAGCAAGTCACACAGGTCACACCCAGGTCACACAGCAAGCTGTCTTGGAAGCCTCTCTCCCAGCTGTCAGCCCACTGCCCGACACCACCACCTGGGCCCACTCTATGGTGACACTAGGCCAGAGAGTAGATGACATGACACCCAGGAGCCAAAGCCTGGCTGTCCCCCCACAGACATCCATCAGCAGAGACACCAGACACCTTGGCATCTGCCAGCCCCAGGCGCTGGCCTCCGGGACCCACCAGCCCCTGCTGCTTCCACTCTGGCCCAGCAATGAAAGGCAGGCTGATTGTTTTAATCCAGGGTCTTTGGGAAGTCTTGTGCAATTCTAAAACTTTGCAATGGGAGGAGGTGATAGTGTGACACTGGGAAAGGCCAGTCAGCAGTATTTAGAGGAAAATTAAAATTTCTCCTCGCATCTCCTATGCACAGAGTTCCGCAGGTGACGTTTACCTTGTCTGGCTCACGAGCCCAGTTGCCCTTTCTCCTGCCCCTGCATCCCTCGAGGGTCTCTGTTCTGCTGTGCACATCCCTCTGCTTTCCGATGCCTCACGTGGCTGTGTGGTCCCACCTGCCTCTGCCTGAGTGTCAGGGTTTGCAGGAGCACAAAGATCTGAGCCAGGAGATCTGGAGGCCAATGGGCCCAGTCTGGTCATGTGAGACCTGGGTGCCCAAGAGGCAGCGCTCTGCCCACTGCATCCCCCATTTCCGTACACCTGAGTCCAGGCACCCAGCCATCCATCAACACATCCGTCTCCACACCCACCCTCATCCTTTCCAGTGATGTGTGACAGTGAAAAGCAGCAAAGGAGGACCCAACCGAGTCTTTGGAGTGACCAGCATACCCTGGTCCTCCTCACTGATGGATGGCAAGATGCACAGCACCGCTCCGACCAGGCTGCAAGGATGGCCAGTAGCAACACCTGTGTGGAAAATCAGTGTCTGAAGAGGAAGGTCAGCACACTTGGATTTGTCCTGTCCTTCCTTGGCTTCTCCGCAAGGTCTCAGACTGTGCTTGGAAACGATTCACTATGGGCGAGAGGCGTACCACAGATGGCCCCCACCCCCTTCCATTTAGATGTTCGAACACAGCCTGTTTCCCAAAATGGGCAGATGGAATCCCAGAGTCTGCAGCAGGAGTGGCCCCTGGATCACTGATCCATCCCCCTCCTTCTACCAAGGGAGACGGGCCCAGAACACAGTGATTTCCAGAGCAAGATGGATTTGTGATTGGGGGAAACACCTTGAATAGAAGATTACTGGCTCTTTCAACTGGAGAGAGGGGCAGGTCATAGGTTCAGGCCCAGCCTGGTCAGGAAAACCAGAAACCTGGCCTGCTTGGCACAGGGAAGGGCCTCCCGCCTCTCTCCATCCAGGTGCAGAGCGGCAGCCCAGCTTGTTAGCTGGAGTGAAGGGAGGAGAGAGGCCTCCAGGGGGTGCCAGTGAACAGGCTGGGGTTAGAAACTGCATTCACAAAGCTAGACCCTAAGCAGGGCTTAGGGGCAGTGCTTTCCCCAGGGTTTGGGCAGCACTTCTACACTGGCTTCTCTCAGGACCCCTGGGGCATCCCACCTTCCAACGAAAGCCTGGGGTTCACAGGTAGGCCTGTCCCAGGTTACACCAGAGACCTCCAGTAGACGTAGACCCTGATGACACAGGGCAGGAAGCCAGAGCAGGCTGCCCAGGAAAGGCAGAATGAAGACACATGTCATCATTCCTGTGGTGGGCCAGGGACCCGAGTTAATGGCAGCACCGGAGAAGCAGATGGAAGTGACCTCCCACTAGAACTGTGCAGGCGTCACTCTTCCAGGAACCCAGCCCCCTCACCTCCACCAACCAGTGATTTCTGAGCTCCCCACTTTGACCCCAAGGGCTCCACTGACTGTACATGGGAAGAGGACTCGGAAACATCAGGATGCCTAAGAAAGCATTTGTAATGCTAAACTGTGCGATTCAGGCAGGGTTTGGAGGGGTTGGATTCATGTGAAATCGTGGAGTCTCCCTAGAGAAGAGGGGAAGCTGGGGCTTCCCTGCAGAAGGTACTTTGCAGTATACGTTGAGGGGAATGGTGGGGGGGGAGTATATTGTCTTTTTATTTAGCTAAAATAACAACGTGGACTTGAGAACTGCAACCTAACTCACCCAGCTTCAGGCCAGGGTACCTTTTGTCTGAACACAGTAGGCGTCTAAAACGGGTGGTCTGAAAACAACAAACGGCAAAATGCCTCATTGTTGTAGGGAACCACTACCAAGCATCAGCTACGTGCCCAGCTTCTCTCTGGTCTGCTCATGGCCACTAGGTTCTCATGCATCAGGCGTTCACTGTGCCCATTTTCTCATCCCCTGCAGGCACTGGCCCTAGCTCGGCCACAGACCCACTCCTGTCCCTGCTCCTGCTAGGTCTGCATAAGTTCCTTCGCCTGCTGGTGGGGCACTGACAGACATGGCCATCCTGCTCACCTCAGCCGCCCCACACGACCTGCCTGGACCCGATGTGAGGCCCGCAGCCCCAGATGGACACAGAGAGACTGAGAGAAGCATGACAGAGTCCACGTGGAAAATGAATAAATCCTATTTTAGGGGAGGTTACTCAAACGTAGAACACCTAAAATAATGCATCTAGTTTCCAAATAAGATGGAATTTGGGCCATGCGGTATGCATGGGATCCGTGATTTCTCTACTTCAATGTATTTTTCTTTTCTAAACTTTTCCTCCAAGTCTTCATTTTGCACGAACTGTTGAGCAGTTATCTTTAGGATACTATGTAAAAATGTTGGGTCAAAGCCTTTCTGACAAAGCAAAATATTTTTAGTAGATTATCGTGTTTAGGAATTTTTTATTTACTTCTTTTCTTTGGGGACTTTCCTTTTTTTATTAAAGTAAATTATTTCTTTTGAGACATTTTGATTAAAAAAGATACATCTTATCATAATTAAAATTCACTGTCAATAATATTTATTTTTAAATAAAGATTGGAAACAAGGCCAGACACTTGTTTATAAACTGTATTGTATATTGCTGATAACAGTTGAATAAAAAACAACTTTGAAATAACCTTTCTGCAGGCATGTATGAATGTTAAGCCCAGGAGCCTAAAACAGCCCGAATGCCATGACCTCTTGTTCTTTGAAGCCAGCAGCACACTTGGCAGGATGCAGCCCAGCATGGAGGACAGCCCAGGGAACCTGGCCAAGAGCAGACAGAGTGTTTCCCAGCCTCCACAAGGCACAGGGGACCTCACAGAGCCAGGATCGAGAGCAGCCTCCAGCCTGGGTTCAGAAGGAACGACGGTCGCTGGGAAGAGTGTAATTTAAATCAAGAACCAATTTTCCCCTTTTGGTTTAAAGTAATTATGCAACGTATTTGTCCACTTAGATAAGACTATTTCACATTGGATTCACTGCTAGCTTGAGAAGGGAATTCCGGGAGAAGATGGGGAAGCTCATACTCTTTCTATATGCATGGAGAGATAGCTTTGAGCCTCTGAAATACAGGTGTCTGGGTACGTGTCACATGTCTTAAAGGAATAGACATGACGTGGGGGCTGTTATGCATTCCACGATAGGATCGCATTGAATAGCTAGAACCCATTAGATTTGTTAGCCTAGCAAGTTTTTTGTTTTGTTTTTAAAGATTTTATTTATTTATTTGACAGAGAGATCACAAGTAGGCAGAGAACCAGGCAGAGAGAGAGGGGGAAGCAAGCTCCCCGCTGAGCAGGGAGCCCGATGTGGGGCCGATCCTAGGACACTGGGCTCATGACCCGAGTGGAAGGCATAGGCTTTAACCCACTGAGCCACGCAGGCGTCCCAAGCCCTGCGGTTTTGAAGACTAAATAAATACTCAGCTGGCCCAGGTCCTGGGTTTCTATGGTGCACGCAGCCCCCGCTGCTGGTCAGTACTGGAAATGCAGCACCATGGCAAATCAGCCTGTGAGGCTTCAAGCCACTGAGTTTGGAGTTATTAGTGCAGCACAGTCCAGCCTATCTCCACTGATTCAGCAAGTCACTGCCGTATTCACTTGAGGGGTGAGAAGAAAAGAAGGTGCATTTGGATGACTCCACGAGTGCAGAGACCCCTCGTGTGGAACTGATGCCCTGAGATGCCAATGGGGGAGACCACCTCTAGTTGCTGTTTCTGGCAGATACATTGAGTTGTTCACATTTCATTTCTATTGATCAGCACCAATCAAGCTTTAAATTTAATCATTTGTGGGGCGCCTGGGTGGCTCAGTGGGTTAAAGCCTCTGCCTTCGGCTCGGGTCATGATCCCAGGGTTCTGGGATCGAGCCCCGCATCGGGCTCTCTGCTCGGCAGGGAGCCTGCTTCCCTTCCTCTCTCTCTCTGCGTGCCTCTCTGCCTACATGTGATCTCTGTCTATCAAATAAATAAAAAAAAGTCTTAAAAAATTTTAAGTTAAATTTAATCATTTGCCTGGTGGAGAGTGATTCTGTCCAGAGGATCATCTCTTTTATAGTTAACTCAATAGTGCAGTGGGCTAATGTCATGTTAAATACAGGTCCTCTGTGCTTTAAAAGAAAACGGCACCGCCTAGGCTGACTCCAGGTTGAACGGAAACGATGTGTCAGTGGTGGGCTAACATTGTGCCAGATCAGTCCAGGGACCCGGAATTGGGGAACCATATCCTATCCCTAAAACCAGACCATCTGCACATGCGCAGTCAGCCAGGTTTCTGCCGGCATGATGGGCCTGGGAAAGAACAGGCTGATGTGCTTTGGGGAACTGTTCTCCTGGGCTGCCCTCTTTCTGCACAGACGGGCATCACCTCACACTCACAGGAATAAGCTCTGTGTCTTCTCCTTGGGACGAGGGATTTCTAGGAAGGAAGTCATGGGTGAGGCTGGGCTTAACTCCCCAACAGAGGCCAATGGAAGTCAGACCAAGACCAAGGTGGAACTGGGGTCCAAGAGAGCCAAAAACAAAATCTTCTGACCATGGAACCCCCCTGGACCATGTCCCTGCTGGTTAGTGCCCTGGACTCAAAGGAAGAAGAAGTGAAGGGTGCACATGTGCACCATAAAGCGGATTAACAAGAACCTTCACACATGCTCCCTGAGGTCCCTCATGTGACACTCCGAGATGCTGACAAAGAATGGACAGGCTGCATTGAGTTTTCTGGCATATACACAAACCAGGAGGATCAAGCACCCACCCAAAATGGAAACCATGGGACTGGACTCACCACCCAAACCACCTGTCCCTTTGGATTTTGGCCCAAATCCACAGCAGACGGGCTCAGGTATGAGGACAAAGATGAATATTTTGATTTGAGAAGAAGGCACTGCAGGTGATTCAGGAACTCTGGCCCCAGGCTGTGAAGACCACCCAGCTGACTAGAAGGGATTGTGGAAGTGTGGGTCATTATTGTAAGTAACACCAAAATGAGGGTGAGGAGGCAGGAGGGGAGAGGAGGGAAGTGATGGCAGGGCAAAGTCCACCCCAGTGGGAGACTGAGTGTGGGGTTAGGGGAGGGAAATAAGGGGGTGAGGGGGTGTAAACATGTTGGAGAGAGCACACAACCGAAAGCCGGGGGAGCAGCCCTGCGTTCTGCAGTTGTGATGAGGGCTGCACTGGTTGGCATTACCCCATGGTGTTGAAGGCAGCATTTCAGGGCAAAGCTTTGCAGGAAGGACAGGAGCCCTCAGAGAAGTGACAGGAGGTGACGTGACCAGAGGGAGTGGCATTCTGAGTTTCAGTTCTGTATCAACCCCACATTCTTAGCTACAGCTCTGACCCATAAAACAGAGCTCCATGTGATTGGTCAAGACTGAGCTTGGTTGGAATATAACCAAGTAAGCCATCTGTGAGCTGAGCTTGTGGCTAAGGGGCTCCTGACACTGTCGGGGGCGGGGTCTGATTCCGGCTTCTCTCTGCACTGCTTCCCCAGACAGGCTCATCCCCCCATATCCGTTGGCACTGGGCATCCATGCTGCAAGCGTTTCAGAGGGTGCACCCCCTGCTGTTTCTGGATAACAAGCAGCAAGAAACTCAGTGCACTTGTTCCTCATGTGTGGGCACACGTCTGCTGAGTGGTCCACTGCTTCAGAACACATTTGCTTTCTTTGCAGTGAGTGATGCAGCAGTGGGAGTGACCCAATGCTTGGGGGAACTTCAGCCAGTCTGGCCGCATGGTGGGGTTGCTGCCCCTCAGGCTTCCCTGACTTCTATTGCCAGGAAGAACCTTTACCCACACATGCATGGAAAACCCATGATGTGTAGGAAGGACCTACCCCCTCTCGTGCCTGCAGACACAACATGAGATAAAGTCTGAACACAACACCAGCAGGGACCCCTTTTAAATGACAAAGAGCCACGGAGCACTAAAAATACATATCAAGTCAGAGAACAGGACTGCACCCCAATTCTAATGTGCCACCAGCTAACAGAAACCCAATGAAAATCAGATCTGTTCCCTGCCCTTGATTTTTTTAAAGGGACATATGATAAGTAATACTCTTATCAATCAGTGATAATCTTAGAAAATATGGATGATATCTTTCAGATTTTGAAGTGGGGGAGGATTTCTTTTTTTTTTTTTTAAGATTTTATTTATTTATTTGACAGAGATCACAAGTAGGCAGAGTGGCAGGCAGAGAGAGAGGAGGAAGTAGGCTCCCCGCGGAGAAGAGACCCTGATGCGGGGCTCGATCCCAGGACCCTGGGATCATGACCTGAGCCGAAGGCAGAGGCCTTAACCCACTGAGCCACCCAGGCGCCCCAAGGGGGAGGATTTCTTAAATAACTCCCGAAGACGGTAAGTTTAAGAGAAGAGATGGATGATGGTGACCAAGTATCATGAAGAGCATTTGTTCATCCAAAGCCACCAAAAAGAAAGGGAAAAGAGACTTACAAAACGCAACCAATAAAGGATTAATATCAAGCATGTACAAAGAACTCCCGGAAATCAGTAAGCAAAGCATAATGCGAAAACAGACAGAAAGCATGAGCCACAAAAAATATGGTCTGTAAACATGAAAAAGGTGTTCAGCCTCACCTCACTAGTGACAACAGAAATGCAGAACAAATCCATAATAATTATGGCCACTCAGTTATCAACAGTGTGAAAGCCTGATAATACCACGTGTTAGGATGTGGATTGTAAGATCTCTCAGGTATTGACTGTGGGAACATAAATCCCATACCCTGTGGCCCAGCAACTTCACTTTTTTTAAAATATATTTTTTAAAGATTTTATTTATTTATTTATCAGAGAAAGAGAGAGCACAAGCAGGCAGAGTGGCAGGGAGAGGCAGTGAGAGAAGCAGGCTCCCCGCTGAGCAGGGAGCCTGATGCAGGACTCCATCCCAGGATCCTGGAATCATGACCTGAGCTGAAGGCAGCCGCTTAACCAACAGAGCCACCCAGGCATCCCTCAACAACTCCACTTCTGAGTGGAAAAAGTCTTCCTCATGGGCAC